CAATCTCCAATAATACAAAATCAAACCCACAAAATACCAAATCAATATTTTACAAATTAGCCACAAAGAAAAATTTCCAACCAAGCTCCAATCATACAAAATCAAACCCACAAAATACCAAATCAATATTTTACAAATTAACCAGAAAGAAAGATTCCCACACACCCTCCAATCATACAACAACAAACACACAAAATTCCAAACCGATATTTTACAAACTAAGCACAACCGAAAATTCCCATACACTCTTCAATCATTCAGAATCAAACGCACAAAATACAAAAAATCAATATTTTAAAGATCATCCACAAAAAAGATTCCTAAAGACAGGCTCGTTTGCGTTCGTTCGCGCCAGGTATGCCAGGTATCCGAGGAATGGCCAGAAAATCGTGTCGCGTGTCGCCTCCGCCACGTGGGCGGCTTAATAATGCTCAGATCGCGGCGATACGGTGCCCGAACAAAAGCCCTTTCCACGGGATTCCAAGTAATCTCGGCACGCCCGTCGGCGCATTGTCTTTGACTCCGGTTATCTCGCGTCGCGCACGGTTTAAGGACCGTGCTAAACGATCATCAGTCTCAGTATTAATTGGCGCTCCGTTGCGTGGGCCGCGGCGCCATTTCTCGGCCCAGATGGCTGCTAAAAGGGAAACTTTGAATTATGAACGGTTGTTATAATGAGTAGTGCTAAAAACTTGTGTGTTTCTATTGGGTCATCCTTTAAATAACGGGGTTTCTTGTGTTTCTTTTATTTTTATGATAAAGATAAACAATGGTTTCGTAAAAGTAATTATAATGTGAAGGGAATTTATAGGTAGTGATGGAGGATATGTTTTAAGTTGAAGATATGTTTGGAAATAATAGAGATTTAAAACTTCGTCGTATTTATGGTAATAAAGATAGACGATAATTCAATTAATAGCTTTCTTAATAAACAGTTTTAACAGACAAGCTCGAGATGACAAGATCGACTTCCTTCTTCCTGATGAAGGACCATTCCTTGAGCCTTTGCAGGACGATTCCCATAAATAATGCACACATTTACATTTAAATAATAAAGAAAAACAATAATTTAATTCAACAACTTCCTTAGGAAACATTTTTAACAAACAAAATCCCGATAACAAGATCGACTTCCTTCTTCCTGATGAAGGACCATTCCTTGAGCCTTTGCAGGACGATTCCCATAAATAATGCACACATTTACATTTAAATAATAAAGAAAAACAATAATTTAATTTAACAACTTCCTTAGGAAACATTTTTAACAAACAAAATCCCGATAACAAGATCGACTTCCTCCTTTCTGATGTAGGATCGTTCCTCGAGCGTTTGCAGGATGATTCTCATAATTAATGTACAAATTTACGTTAAAATAATAAAGAAAAACAATAATTTAATTTTACAACTTCCTTAGGAAACATTTTTAACAGACAAAATCCCGATAACAAGATCGACTTCCTTCTTACTGATGCAGGATCACTTCTCGTGTGTTTTCAGGGTAATTCTCTTAATTAATTTAAAAATCTACATTAAATTAATAAAGAAAAACAATAATTTAATTTAACAACTTCCTTAGGAAACATTTTGAACAAACAAAACCCCGGTAACAAGATCGACTTCCTTCTTCCTGATGCAGGATCATTCCTCGAGCGTTCGCAGGACGATTAGGCGTGTCAGTGACCCGGTACAAATTGCGCTCGCCACGAGGCCAGGGACGGTTGTCGACAGGGAATGCCTATTGTACTTATATACGTGTTATATGTATCGGGCATCGACATTTACTCGATTATTTACGGCGTTATTCGCCGGTAGCGGATACTATGACGGACGAGATTGCACTTGAGTGACATTTGCGGGACAGCCGAGGCAACAGGAGCAGCGCTTCTGTTTCTCATAGCTGAAAGGGTTGCAAGATAATTGGCATAGTTGATTCTTGTTGTTCGATCACCTCGTGCTGAGTAACGATCATTCATAATTCATTGCAGCGAAATATTCTAATAATTCATATAAGTCATCTGTAATTGGATGATTCATTCGGATGGCTCGTCATTATTCAAATTGCCTATTATTGGCTTCAATAAGTTTTTAGAGTGACTCATATTTATTTGAATATTTTATGGGAGAGACACAGCTTTATATCATTTATGGGAATAATTTGCTTTTGTTTATTTCTGTAATTAGATTTCTGTTTATTCGAGTGACGTAATTTGATGATAGTAGCAGTGATTCGTATTAGGTTCATTTATATAAATTTGTTTCTTAATTCCTGTGAATTTGTTTATTTTTACTGTAATAATTTATCTGTATTTATTTGAATAAAAATGCTGATGATTTGTTGATTAAAATGTAATTATTCCAATTGTCAAATTATAAGTACGTCATTTAATTATAATAATTTATTTATTTATTATTCTCAGAAATTGTTTACTGAGATTAGAATTCAGTATCCTATTATAAATCTTGAAACGTCTCCAAACCAATTTAAATAATCACTTCCAAATCAAATCTTTTGAACGAATAAACAAAATCCAAGGTTGATTATTTAATATCCTGGTTGACAATAATTTCTTCCCGACGATAAAGATTAATTGATCTTTCCACTTAATGTCAAGAAGTCGACGCAGCTCTTGTTTTGTTCCATTACGTTCGCCACGGTTACGTCTACCACACATTTCATCGGTGAAAAAGCGTAGCTAGAAATTCCGTCGTCATGGTCCCCGAATTCTCTCGTTTTCCGTCATCCGTGCGTGAAACGTCCGATTTACATAGTCTGCTGGTTACAATTGCTTAATACTGCACCACACGTTTCGACAAACCTTTACCAATGTTCTACTGTTTTTTCGTTTTAATTCGCATTCCTGGAAACTGATATTTTTTTCACGATACTTACCCAATACTCGCCACAATGCACAGAGGACTTATCTTTAATTTTACGGATTATTTCAATAATCGAATTAATTAATATTTTTGATAATTTGATAATTTGATAATCTGATAATCTGATAATCTGATAATCTGGTAATTGGATAACTTGGTAATTTGGTAATTTTGTAATTTGATACTTTCTTAATTTGGTAATTTTATAATTTGATACTTTCGTAATTGGGTAATTTGAGAATCTGGTAATCTGGTAATTAACTTAACTGTATTTAAGATAATATTAAGAAAATTAGTTTTGATATCTGTAACAGTGAATAGTGTCGAAATAAAATGGAAAAGTATCGAAAGGAACTGAAACAAATGACAGAAATTCATTTCGTTTTCTGGAGCACACGATCATCGAATTCGCTGGATTACGAATTATACCGCGGAATTATTACACTGTAATGAACTTGTCCCAATTAGGTGGTAGGTGCTCGTTAGAAATGATTGTTCGGATGTCATTGTTCACGGTGTTTCGCAAAATGTAATTGCTCCGGGGCTTATTAAGAACTCGGGCGTAGCTATACGTGACGGAATCCTGTTGAATTTGCATTGAAAATGATATTCGTTGATCTTTGGGAATATTACCATATTTGTAACATGTGAAATCACAGTAGTAATGATGTTTACAATTCTTCTCCATTAATTCAGTTTTATAGATTAAAAAGAGAATAAAAGTTTCATTAATTTTCAATCTTATAGTTCTTCTCCTCATTAAGCTGTCAAGGGTTATTTCATTGTTAATAATTTCTAGGAGAAAAACGCTTGTACATTCAGTGTAAAAATTAATTTATTACTATGAATTATTTACTATTAAATATTTAAATTTATTACTATTTAAATATTATTTTTGTCGACACAAATATTTATGACAATTGTTACACTATAAGGTTACAGTAATAATTTCTTTGGCACTTCAGTAGCGAATAATATAAAATAATATTTCATATTAATATAATATATACATTTTGAACTATCAACGTCATCTTCTTGCAGATCACAACTTAAGAAAAAATCCTTTGTTTAAAAGCAACCCCTTCTAGGAAATTTGTTTCAACCCTAAACCAAATTGAATTAATATATAAATAATGTAAAAAGGTATTTCATAATATTATATACTCAATTAACAAAGCAGACAGTCCAACAGTTGAGTCCAACTCAACCCCCAAATCACTAAAACAAATTCCATAAACATAAATCAATAGCATAAATAAATAAAATAAAAGAAACCATTTCACAATATTAGATTTTGAATTGACAAATCCTTCAACAAAAAATCCACTAATCCCTAAGTTATCAAATCAAAATCTATAAATCCAAATCAACAAAATAAACAAATACTTCACAATATTATATTCCAAATTAACAAATCTTCCACCCAAACACAATACCTTAAATATCCCCAAGAATCTAGCTAAATCTCCTAATCTATAAATGACCAAATCAAAATCCATAAATACAAATCAACAAAACAGAAAGCTACTTCGCAATATTATATTCAAAATTGACAAATCCTCCATCTACACACAATCCCCAAGAATCTAGCTAAATTCCCTAATCCCTAGATTACCAGATAAAAATCTATAAATCCAAATCAACAAAACAGAAAGCTACTTCACAATATTACATTCCAAATTGACAAATCCTCCATCTACACACAATCCCTACACAATCCCCAATAATCTCAGCCAACCACGAAACCACCAAATGAC